GCTCTACACCTGGTTATCTCAGATTCTCCAGCATCAGCAGATCCTACTATCTCTTTTTAAAAGTACATTTTTCTTGACCATAGTTCTCATTGTCACTTCAAGCTCCTCCATTTCTCCTGTACAGAATGCTGCCCACATTCAAGGTGTGGGATTTTATTTTACAACCGCTTTGTAACTTATCAAAACAGGCTCCAGGATGGAATTTGTAAGCTGCTGTATGTAAAATGTTTTGCAATCACAATAAACCATTTGTTTTTCATTTAATATTGGACATTTAAAGATGAAGTTGCCAAAGTGTTACCAGGCCATAGGGCTGCTCTTTCATTAGAGAGAGATGGATGACTGGTGGTGGTTTAATCTAAGGGTCGCTACACCTCTTGCAAGTGGAGAGGTTTAAAAGGAAAAATCCTCATGATAACCTCAGCCAGTACTGGAAATTGAACCCAAATTCGTGGCATCATTCTGCATTCTAAATCAGCTGTCCAGCCAACTGAGCTAACCCCATTTCTAGATGCTCAACAAGAATGTGGTCTAATTGGAGCACAGTTACTAGGTGCAATGTACCATTCAGACTTTAGTGTTTTTTTCTTCTCCTCCCTCACCATGAGCTCAAGGTGTGTCAGGGGTAGGACTGGAGAGTGTATGCGTGTGCGTGTGTGTTCTGCAGTTTACCACAGCTTCTATTCCTGCCTCCTTGATGTAGCCCATCACTCACAAAGAATCTGACCACTGCACCCGAAGCACTGAGTATTTACAGATAATGCAAAGGACTGAGCAGAAATATTTACACTGAATGCAACCAATGAATTAGCACCATTGCTCAAAGCATTCATGTGGTCCTGCAGGAAAAGTCATTGCTGTAATTTCTCTTTGCTTAACCACAGGAGCTAACCTTCTAAAGATGCCATATTAACAAGTTCAACAGTGCACACATGACTGGGTCAGACACATCAGCTGACATCCTTGATGAAACCTTGAAGCTCATTTCAATTTCAATAGTAATACGAGCTGTGAGACATTACTGATACTCTGCTTCCTGCAGAATCCACTTACAGGGTTACTGATCAGAGAGTTGATGTCTGCGGTGATGACACTCCCTAGGGGACACAAAACAGCCTTCATGAAGTCCTTGAAAATAAACTGAGAAACCTAAAGCCCATAATACAGGACACTATTAAGGTTGAAATAAATGGAATCTGCCTTATCAGGCAAACATGCTCTCTGGTATGAAACCAAACTCCTTAGATAGTTGTCAGATTAAGCTGATTTTGCAAATTTCAGACAGTGCTATATTTGGCCTCAGTCTGCTTTCATTTCAGGAGTTTGCAACTGATAGAAAGGTCTTTATTACAGTCTAGGCTGGATTCTGAGCAGAGCCCGAGAGGAAAGGACATTCTGCTACTTGTCTGCACTTTGCAGTTTCCCTCAAACGTCTGTGCAATTTACAAAGATCACGGGAATAGTCTTTTATTTGAAACAAATTAGTGATAGCCGATAATCGCCATAAATATGAATAGTAAACGCTGTAAATACTCAAGAGGTCAGGCAGCTTACATGCAGTGTGATGCATGTATGAGACTTTACAGTCAACTGGAGAAGGTGGAAGTAAATGGCTAGGCCAACAGCTTGGGCTAAAAGGCAGGAAGGAAGCTGGGTTACCTTCATCGAAGGGTCAGTACACTGGGGCACCACCTCCCCCACTCACCCTCCAATGATTGCACCCTTGTTAGCTCAGTTGTCTGGACAGTTTATGAAAGAGCGTGGTGCCAACAGTGTGGATTCAATTCCCACATGAGCTGAATCAACCACAATGCCATGGGGTCTGGATTCTGACATTAGTGAGCCAGATGGTTTTTAACACCAATCAATGGTAGTCATCATTAGATTCTTAATTCCTGACTTTTTTTTATTGAATTGAATTTCCACCATCTGCCAACGTGGAGTTCAAAGCAAATTATTGCTATTATTGACAAGCAATAACACGACTTGGCCATCACCTCCCACTCTAGCTTTCTGAGCTGGCGTATAAGGGGCCAAGAAAGGATCGTGATACTTACCATAGTGTGGGATGATGCTCCATGCCATCACTGATGCGTAAATCCCACCCACCATCCAGAACATGCAGAGCCAGCTGAGATGCTCCCCCCGCTTCTCCCGAGCCAGGAATTCTGAGAAATAGGAGAAAACAATGGGGATGGAGCCGCCAATACTGAAAGAGAGAAAAACAAGAAGTATTTTTGGGGTAAATTCATTTTCTTTTAAAATTTTGTTTCTGATTATTTTAATATTATAAATTATTTGATTTTGGCCTTGGGAAATGGTAATGCAGACAAAGCTACATTAACGTCCACTGTTGCTCTGAAAATGTGGTACTGGGTCTTCTTCATGAAGCGCAGTGATTCGTCCATGGATAATACTCCCAAAATCTCCACTTTCTATTGCTTCTTATCAAATCAGCAGTAGGAGTTGATTGGGACCAAATTCTCTGATGGTTAAAAACTATATCTTTGGTCACTGGGACAAACAGTGCTAAGTGGTGCCTCTGAGATAAAGAGTGATAAATAGCAACAAGAACAGAAATTGCCGGAAAATTTCAGCAGGTCTGGAGTCCAGAAGAAGGTCACTGGACCTGAAATGTTAGCTCTGATTTGTCTCCACAGCCTGACCTGCTCAGATTTTCCAGCAATTTCTGTTTGCACTTCTGATTTGAGTAATTAAGTAGCAAATTGGCAAAATCAGCCAGTTTACAAATTCCACAAAAGAACCAAATTCTCAGCCTAAGCATCAAGTGAAATTTCATCTTTCAATTCCTTGTACGATTTCACAAGACAATTTTGAAAACAATATTTCTTTTAACACACTTGAGATAACACTTTGTTCACAGTAGACCCAATCTTCATTCCAAAAACTTTGAAGATACACAGCCTGAATTAGCGTACAATACTGCACATTCGCAGAAGTGATAGCTGCACATTCAGAACTTGGCATGTATCTTACATTATGAAGTCTGTGCATTTTGCTATATTGCTCTCTCTGCTGCCCCCTCCGTTGGGAAGAAGTAAATAAATATAGTCCATAATGATTATCTGCAGCAGAGCGGGTATTAGTTTTATTCAGGTGTAATACACAATAGTGTGGGTGTCTAACCCAGAAACAAGAATGCTCACAAGAAAGGCAAGCTGGTCCTCTAATGCAATCCCTCAGTGACAATACCTTGCTTCAAAGTATATGACTCCCTTACCCAGCTCCTGAAAGTAGTCGGCAGAACAGGAAGATGCCATAGCCCTGGACAAATGATGAGAAGATCACAAAGACTCCATTGATGCTGAGGGCAATGATCAGACAATATCTTCTGCCCATTTTATCTGCCAGACCACCCCAGACAAAGGCTCCTACCATCATTCCCAAGTACACTATCAAGCCTGAAAAACAATGATAGGAGATTAATAACAATCATGTTAGTTTTTCCTCACACAATGAGTTTTGTTTTGAGTGAAGTGAGTATTGTTATGTGACCAAACACACCAGCTAATTCAGCACCTAGCAAGATCCCAACCACAGTAATGTGTTTTTTTTTCTTTATGTTGTATTTGGCTGATTGGGGAGTGTTGACCAGGTCTCCAGGAGAACTCCCTGCTCCCCTCAAAAAGTATTCAAGCTTTAACATCCATTTTAACAAGCAGAAAGTAACTTGGTTTAACATTGTGTCGAAAGAATAATTTTATTTTAGGACTTGAACTATGGCCTTTTGGTTATAGAAGGTTAGTGGCATCCATTGACCCTTACTGTCAAACCACAAACATATGAGGACACAGGATTGGACTTGGCTGGGATAAGCTGCAGTTACTTAAACTAATGACATTCAGTATCACCATTTATAAGGAGCTCCCAAATGTGGATATGAAGCCATGGCCCAATATATATTAGCACATTCAGGAGAGGATAGGCAAAAGCTGAGTAATGGCTTACTGGGCTTTGAATTATTATGGGCCAATTTCATCTCTGAGTTACCCCAAAGCATCCTCCTATTGAGTAGTTCCAGAGATGAGGTATATGAAAGGAGAGAAATGTCCTGGATCACTCACCTGGCACAGGACTACAGCCTGACAGAACATTGAGTACCGATCTTCTCCACTTGCATTAGGAACTTCTGGCTGCTGTTGTGGAATATCTTTTTACAATTTTTTTTTTCCCTCACAGGATGAATATCATTGGTGGACCAGTATTTCGTGCCTAGTTGCAAGAAGGCAGTTAAGAGTCAGCCACATTGCCGTGGGTCTGGAGTCACATGTGGGCCCACCTTGTGAGGACAGCAGTTTCCTTCCCTCAAGGACATTATTGAACCAGATGGGGTTTTTTTTGTTCTCACAAAATCGACAATGGATTCGTTGTTTAAGCCTTTCAATTCCAGATTTTTTAACTGAATCCAAATTCTATCATCTGTCCTGGGATTCTGGATTAATCACGCACTCAGGCATCACCTAACATATTGTTAGGGCATTTCCAACGATCTGAAGAAGGTTGCTGCACAAGTCAGTTCTCCAGGTTTGCTGGGGCACCCTTCTGCTTGGGTGCTCCAAGGGCACAATCAAGGCATAATAATAAGCTCAAGATTCTGGGCCATCTCCTGTCACCTTCTCAATCACATCATTATCAGGGTCTGTGCCCACCACTGCTACACCACTTGGGAGGATCTCTCAAAAAGCTAAGGTAACTCAGTGGAGTGGAGCCCCTGTGTACAAACCTTTCTGGTTTGTGCCTAATGTAGAGGTCAGCTGAATGAGAATGGAGCACAGTCCACTTCAATTACTCCCTGCCATCATGTAGCCTGGTGAAACAACAGCGTTAATAACTCATTGTATGAATCAATATAAACTTGTCAAGCTCAATGTAGCAGAAAATCATTCCCAATAAAATCAATTGTTGAGTTTTCTACCCATTGTAAATGTTTCATTCATGTATAGTCAAAGCAATAGGAAAAAGGAGACTATTCCAAAACCATCTCACTATCTCTGATGATGCAGCCAGCTTAATAGTTTCTTTACACCTCACTCTTGAGATATTGCTGAACAAATCTGTTCTAGCATATCGGCAAAGTGTGTTCTGAAATAGAAGACTGCTTTGTATCAGACACTGCTCAGGGTAATTATTTGTATTGCTGGACACTTTGAAGTAATGGTGTTGTGTGTCGTTGAGGAGAAAGAAAGTCAATGGGAGAGATGTCAGAACATATTGCATTTGACAACAGCAACATGCATTTATACGGTAAAAACCAAAAGAATTGCGGATGCTGTAAATCAGAAACGAAACAGAAGTTTCTTGGAAAGCTCAGCAGGTCTGGCAGCATGTGTGAAGGGAAATCAGAGTTAACGTTTTGGGTCCATTGAGGAAGGGTCACCAGACCTGAAACATTGACTCTGATTTCTCTTCACAGATGCTGCGAGACATGCTGAGCTTTTCCAGCATCTTCTCTTTTTGGATTTATATAGTGCCTTTAATGTGATAGTCATCACCATAGTCTCAGAGGACTATGAGGTTCTTCCCTCATTAGAGAAAGACAGCTGAGTGACTACACATCAGGTAAAGGGCAGGGTCCTTATGGTAAACTCAGTTGATCGTGGGAACTGAGCCTATGCTGCTAGTATCACACTGTGCCACGAGTTGGCCATCCAGCCAGCTGAACTAATCAATCTACATTGCCTTCAACATAGCACCAAGGCACATAAAGAAATACTGTGACAGGCAATCAAAGGCTAACTTAAAGAGATTTAAGCCTTAGAGTATATAAAGAGGAGAAAAGAGTTTTGGAAATGCAAGGCCAAGTTTCACAAATCTGAGAACTCCAAGGATTCCTGAACCGTATCCTGCCTGGAAGTTTAGTTGAGCAATATTTTAGGCATCCTTGAAAGTGACCTCAAACAGGCCTAAGGACCCATCAGATGGTGTCCAGGTAAGGCCTCCTCCACTGAACTTAACCTTCCTGAAAGCCAGGATAATAATTCATAGCCACAGTTGGAAAAAATTCAATCTTATTGTTAGAAAATCCATTTGAAGTCAGCAGGAATGAAGGAGGACATTCTTCACAGCTAATACCAGGACAATTGGTTTCTTCTCCATCTCCTCACCCATCACCTGATTGGATACCACCACCACTTGACTAGAACGACATTCTGGTCTCCCTCAAGGCCGAGGATAATTCACATTTACCTTTCAGATAGTCACTGAATTACATTATTCAGAATTTTCATTCTAGAATTAGATTTGGCAAGACTGACAGCTTGCCCACAAATTTGGTAAATTTGTTTTCTCAACCCTAGACCATAAGTGTACTGAGATAGCCCACATCAACCAAGCTAGCATTAGATAAGACAACACAAGCTGGAAACCCTACTGGCCGGTGTAACTCAGGCCACAGTGAAACTTTGATCTCATATCAAGCTGTTGGCTTTTATCTGATGATTTCTCACTCACACAGAATGCAGTTCCCTAAGCACAGTTTGATATGCATAGGGTCAAAAGCCAAAGTTCAATTAACTGACCTTTAACGAAGTAAAAACCGGACTGAATTGTTTTTTAGTTTCTTAGTACTCAAAGAAACAAGTCTAAATCCATCTGAATTGAGATTCAGAGTCTGGTGTAGCCATTGTAGATATGAGTCCATCAAATGAGCAACTGAATGTTACAACTACTGCACGGGAGAGGTCTCCCAATTTATTATGGTCTCAGACAGGATACCACGAACTGATCAGCTTCCAGTCAAGAAGGATGGACTGTCTGTTCTTTTTTATTCACCTTGGGTGGTCACAGGATGGTTAATTTAAAAAAGGATCCTTTCACTTGCATGAGGTAACAAGGTGTAGAGCTGGATGAACACAGCAGGCCAAGCAGCATCATAGGAGCAGGAAGGCTGACGTTTCGGGCCTAGACCCTTCATCACTTGCACTTGCAGATGCCTTTCCACCAAACCAAAATAGTTTATGGTTTAGAAGGAACCAATTTAACCAGGTTTTCTAGAGTTGACCAGAGTTACTAAATATGAGAAGAAATCATAATGCAGCACATATATACATATAGATTAAAAATGAGAGGCAAGTACATAAAAGATAAAAGCTAAAACATATATATGGATCAGTCTGAGTTCTGTGAAATGTAGACAATAGGCCGTTGTGGATGTTACACTGGATGATACTGGTAACATTGGCATTGATGGTTAACCAGTCAATCTCAAAAGTCTTGGCTTTGCAGTTTGGCTTTTGACCCTATGCATATCAAACTGTGCTTAGGGAACTGCATTCTGTGTGAGTGAGAAATCATCAGATAAAAGCCAACAGCTTGATATGAGATCAAAGTTTCACTGTGGCCTGAGTTACACCAGCCAGTAAATGCTAGCTTGGTTGATGTGGGCTATCTCAGTACACTTATGGTCTAGGGTCTTTGCAGTTAACTGAAATTCTTTTGCCCTGTTTCTTTTCGATGGGAACTGACTTGCAGCACTCAGAGCAAGAGAATGTCTTTACCTTTTTATTGGCAGTGCTGGAGTGTTTAATGGCTGCCATCAAGCTGTGACCCTCACAGCACACCAGCACACACACAGTAACATGGAAGCCATGACCGCACACTGACAAGAGGTTGAGTTTCTATATTCCTAAAAGGGTAAACATTGAACATGTCTTTCTTGATCATGATCTCCCAGTCTGGAATATAGTCCGCAGGAGATGTTGTACTTCTGAGAGGAGGTAATTAGTTTGTCTTGTACTTCTGTCCTTTGGAATCTTTCTTTGCGAAGCTTCCTTGACACCTACCAGATGAGGCATTCCATGATCTCCCTTGAGGCTGAAGATAATTCACACTGGCCTTCCGCACAGTCGCTGAAATACATTGCTCAGAGATTCCATTCTCAGTCCTTTTCTGGTAATATGTTTTCTTTCTAAAAATGATGGTGGGCAGAATCTTAGAGACTTGAATGACATGGGCTAAGGTGCGTAAGGAAGCAGTACAACACGAAGTTGAACGAGGTCTGTCTGGATGTCAAGAACAACTCGCTGCATCTTTTAACCAGACCTCCCACCTCTGCACCACCCCCTTCCAGCAGGACCTCCAGTTTTCTGTCCACAAAGCGGAATGCAAATTTCCCCTTCTTTGCCATGTCTGATGCAAATGTCAGGAACAGTGCAAGTCAGCTCTGGACTGACCTTGATTGTCTGGATGCACAACAAGGATCCCTTCTGGGATATCCTGGCACTAAAAGGTTATTCTGGGCCTGGCAAGAGGTAGAATGGGGCTAGAATTGGGCAAGGGGACACTGTAGGTGGGGTAGTTAGTTAATGAGACAAGTTTGATAAAATGCAGTGAGAAGTCCCACCAGACATGCAGAATCGTTATCCTCCATAGACATCAAAAAAACTGGCATATCACCAAGAAA